TTCTTTATTTATTTATTTACTATGCATTTCAAGTGCAATATTTTCGTGTAATTTGCACCCCTCTTTAGGTTTATTTACATTTCTGTAAATTGGTAAATTCAATTATTACAACGGTATATTACTACAATAGTTATACAATAGATAACTAACCTCTTTTAAGTGTTAGATCGACATCTGCCCAGTGTTGATGTTATGTCCCCTAAGGCATTTTTAGACTGTTTCCCCCTCTTTTTGTTTTCTTTCACTTTAGCTCCTCCCATTTCCTCTCACACGTTGTCAACCTCCATTCCATCATTTAGGTTTATGGTTTTGCTTTTATTAATGATTTCGAAGTGCTCTTTGAATTTTCGTAGATAACTATCTTTTTCTCTATGGATAATTTTTATACTTTTTTCGTTTATTGTGCATACAAATTCGTTACAGTGATTTGTCCACGGTGATTGGTTATAATTAAGTCTAATTGCTGCTCTATGTTCTTTTATTCTGGTACCGAGTTGTCTTCTTGTTTCGCCAATGTATATTGCTGGGTTCTTACATGTACATTTTATTTTATATATTACACCTGTTTGGTTTAGTATTTTCGTTATTTTTAAACTTATTAGTGTTGATATTGTTTTTAATTTTATTTTTTAATTTGGCTGCTAGTGTAACACCATGCTTACTGAAAACTTTTTTGTATTTTTCAAATGTTCCCTTAATATAGGGGAACGACGTATATGTAGTGTTTTCATTGTTATTTTTAACGTTGAATCTGTTTTTCTTAAATGCATTTATCCACTTTTTTTAGTAATCTGCTTGGATAGTCGTTCAATATGAAGGTATTTATTAGTTCATTTTTTTGTTTTTCTCTTTCTTCCGCCTTAGATGTCCTGTTTCAAATTTTAGTTATTGCTGTTATAAATATATTTCTTTTTACTGTAATAGGACTGTACGACTTATAATTAAGGATTTTGTTTGTATTGCTGCTTTTTCTGTGAGGCTTTATATTGAGTGAGTTTTTTTTCACGGTTTAGAGTTATATCTAGGTAGTTACAGTAGAGCGTCGTTTATCCGAAGGTCGGTTATCCGAAACGTCGGTTATCCGAATGAATTCAAGTCGACAAATTTAAATTTTTGCTAGTGCTGTGGCGCTGCAATCTTCGGCTATTTCTCGGGCTACTCAAATATTTTACGTTTTTGATACTAAATTAACATCTGAAGTATAATTTTTTATTGTTTTTATATTTTTCAATAAATTTATTTTGTTTGTACAAAATAAAAAAATAATTTCTAACGATACAATAGTCTTCGTTAGGCTTAACATCGACGAAAATTCAACGCGAAGCGACACGCAACGGAGAAAAATTTCAACACGGGATAAATTAATATATTTTTTTCGTACATTATTGGTTATCCGAAAAATAAGTTATCCGAACAATCCCAGTCTCTAATTGATTCGGATAAACGACGCTCTACTGTAATTTCATTTTTATTTTCTGTTTCACTTTCATACTTAATGGTATGGCTTAGCGTGTTTCCATAGTTGTATATTATATTTCCGCTAGTTGTTTCATTAGTTAGCGGAAATATAATATACAACTATGCAAACACGCTAAGTAATACCATTAAGTATAAAAGTGAAACAGAAAATAAAAATGAAATTAACTACCTAGATATAACTCTAAACCGTGAAAAAAACTCACTCAATATAAAGCCTTACAAAAAGAAAGCAGCAATACAGAAAAAATCCTTAATTATAAGTCGTACAGTCCTATTACAGTAAAAAGAAATATATNGTGAAACAGAAAATAAAAATGAAATTAACTACCTAGATATAACTCTAAACCGTGAAAAAAACTCACTCAATATAAAGCCTTACAAAAAGAAAGCAGCAATACAGAAAAAATCCTTAATTATAAGTCGTACAGTCCTATTACAGTAAAAAGAAATATATTTGTAACAGCAATAACTAAAATTTGGAACAGAACATCTAAGGCAGAAGAAAGAAAAAAACAAAAAATGAACTAATAAATACCTTCATATTGAACGACTATCCAAGCAGATTACTAAAAAAAGTGGATAAATGCATTTAAGAAAAACAGATTCAACGTTAAAAATAACAATGAAAACACTACATATACGTCGTTCCCCTATATTAAGGGAACATTTGAAAAATACAAAAAAGTTTTCAGTAAGCATGGTGTTACACTAGCAGCCAAATTAAAAAATAAAATTAAAAACAATATCAACACTAATAAGTTTAAAAATAACGAAAAATACTAAACCAAACAGGTGTAATATATAAAATAAAATGTACATGTAAGAACCCAGCAATATACATTGGCGAAACAAGAAGACAACTCGGTACCAGAATAAAAGAACATAGAGCAGCAATTAGACTTAATTATAACCAATCACCGTGGACAAATCACTGTAACGAATTTGTATGCACAATAAACGAAAAAAGTATAAAAATTATCCATAGAGAAAAAGATAGTTATCTACGAAAATTCAAAGAGCACTTCGAAATCATTAATAAAAGCAAAACCATAAACCTAAATGATGGAATGGAGGTTGACAACGTGTGAGAGGAAATGGGAGGAGCTAAAGTGAAAGAAAACAAAAAGAGGGGGAAACGGTCTGAAAATGCCTTAGGGGACATAACAACAACACTGGGCAGATGTCGATCTAACACTTAAAACAGGTTAGTTAACTATTGTATAACTATTGTAGTAATATACTGTTGTAATAATTGAATTTACCAATTTATAGAAATGTAAAAAAACCTAAATAGGGGTGCAAATTACACGAAAATATTGCACCCGAAATGCATAGTAAATAAATAAATAAAGAATACAAATAAAAGCTTTGTCTCTGATTAAATGCGGTCCAGGCAAAAAAAAAACGGTGGTTATTTTTGTACAATTAACCCATAAAGTTTCATCAATTTTAAGGAAATATTTTTGAAAAATTGATTTTTTAAAAGGAATATAAAGAAAACCGCACCTTGGATATATACATATCTATTACTTATTTACAAATGTTATTCGTAGAAAAAGAATTTTTATATTTCCTTAGTCGAAAGAGTAGAAATAATCCGCCGAGAGAGAGTCATTCGGCGATTATATATCTCAATATATCTCTATCTCGAACTTAGTAACAAAATTTCCTAAAGGATGATCATTAACTATTATTTTTGATGTAAGAACAGTGCAACGTCAACCGGAAGAAAGCTGAGTCCCGTGCCTTCACCATTGTTTTACAGATTCTTGGAATCTCGTTTTTCAATCCATCCTTTCAAGGTAATAGGAGGTCGTTGACTTTGTACGATAATCAGCCGAAAGAAAAAAAAAAGGAAGACGACCTTATGAACTTACTTGAGATTTCACTAATCTCTTGATCATTATATCTAGAAATTCGTCAAATCCCATCACCACTTCGCCCAACGAAAAACTTTCCAGAACAAAGAACTTCAACGGACACTCTTAATTTAGTGAAGTTTGAACTCTACTCTCGTTCCGAGATCTACAAACACGTCATCCGGTCAACGGACGACCTACTTCTAGGAAACCGAAGACATCTGACTTCTGACCTCGAGTAATAAACATTGTCGCGAGTTGATACGCACCGGGATTTATTTTGTATCCAAACATGGTGTTCTCTTTCAGTATTGTATGTATCGACGCGACCGCGTAGCTTGTTAATCTTATTGTTTATCGAGAGAGAAAAAAATTTTTTTTTCTAAATCAATGTAAACATACCTCAATCCACCGACAACCCAACCGAACAAGTTAAAATCATACTATCTAAGTGCGATTTTAAAGAAAACATGGAGTGAATGTGAGATCCGGAATTTTAGTAACGAAAATTACGCTCTTTTATTAACAAAAAATTAATTAATTTACTTTCGTTTATGTAACGAACTAGAAAAAAAAAGATCTTAGCCGGGAATGTGTAAACCTTCCTGTCTTAACTATCAACATCCATTGTTCTCTGCGGAACTTGCAGCTCATCTTGCAGAAAAGTTTATAGTTAATTAACATCCAACTTTCGTCACTTGTTTTAAGTCCCTGGGACACCTATAACCTTTAACTCATGAACATCCGATCACGTGGTGGAAATTTTCCACGAAAAGCTATAAAAGGCAGTTCTTACCCCCTCTCGGGGGATATCTTAACGAACGCCGGACCAACGACATCGCGCCGATTCTCCGAACCCGCCGAATTCCGATCTACGATCGTTGATAACACCTCATCGCCAAAGTCGCGAACTTTTAATTTTTGTGCTCCTTTATTTGAACATTTAAGTGCCTTCGCGAATTTGATCGACAAAGGAACTCTTCAAAGAGGTATGAAAAGAAGAAAAACTCTCTCTCCGGATATTAAGCGGTGTAGAAACGCTATTTGTGTAGTCCTTTTGTCCCTTTTGCTTATTTTAATAAATCGTTGTTATATTTGGTAAATATGGTAGACTCCTTTACTCGATCACGCTCTTCACCTTATCGTCGACCCCAAAATTCTCTCCCACCACTCGCCTGACCTTTGAGTCCCAACCAATGGGACCGTTATATTAAAACAAGCTATCCTGACAGTGAGCAGGTTTAACGACCTGTTGTCCGTACAGGGAGAGTCGACGGTTCCCGACTTCCCCTGCGGTTCAAAATACGCATACGTCTTCTAGATTTTCTGCAAGCTTGGTTGGTGTCGCGAAAATTCCTCTCGTTGAAAATCAAGTCGAAATTGCAGTACAGTATTTGGAATTTCAAAACGATCCAAAGAATTTATTCAAAGTTTAATTAAGACTTCCGTATTGCTCATCGCGGACACTAAATATTTTAAATTTCATCCAAATCGGTTGGATGGTCTTGGAGATGTTAATCATCAAATTTAGAACTTTAACATTAGAACGTGTGGCTGAGCTCTACTATAAAGCTCTGTAGCGCCGTCGAGTCACTTCTTTCGTGTTAAATTAATAATATTTTAAAAATTAAAATAACGAAAAATATTCAATTATTGGTTTACCTCCAGATACAGACGAATTCTCTCCATATTTGTTCGATGTCGAATCATTTTCCTGTTGTTTCCTTCCGTTTCTCCATTTCTTTCGTAGTGAATATATCACAAAAAGAGAAATAATAATTAAACTTAACAGAATTTGGCACGAACTCAACAGAAACATGGTCAATATTGCTCTGCAGTTTTCGATGCGGTACTGTGTACGTCATAATCAAATATCTATGCGTAAAACAACAAGCGCCGAATAATGCCAATCACAATCAGAGATTTTCTGCCACGTGATTTACAGTCTGCCTATTATGGAAGACTAAATTCGCACTACGAGACTTAACTTCTCCCATTTCTTCTCTCAAGCTTGGAAAATTTAATTTATATTTTCAAGTAGTTACAGCACATTTTCATTTAAAACGGGGTCGTAATTTGAGTACATTTTAATAGTAGTTATATAATAATTAAATATTACTTTAATTTATGTTATGGTTGAGTTACTAAGGGAAAGGACGTTACCTATTTCAAAGACAGTGCGCCATAACCGGTTCTGTTACTGAGCGGTGGTATTTTACTTTAAAATTTTTTTTTTCTTTTGCTTTTAGAATAATTTTTTAATTCAAAAGTTTTTATGATTTACGAATTTTCTGTTTTGAATATTCGTTTAGTAAAATAGAAATGAAAATTTTACTGAATAAAAACATATTCATACAATTCAATTGTGTAAGAGCTAAGAAAGGAAGAGTGATTCTTAAGTCGGTGAGGCAGAAACATCATGTAATCACGCTTATAGTTTAGTTATTATAAAAATTTATTATTTGACATGGCAAAATAATTTCATGCTCTAGTGTAGTACAGTAGTAGTGATATGACACATACTAATCACAAAATTAATTTATATACAATACATAATTTCACAATTACTTATATTTCACAATTAAATGTATAAGAAATGTGATTGGACGGTTGTTTCATATAAATTAAATTTTATTATATGTTAGAATTTATTTTAAACACGGAATCAGTTATGGAAGCATATGGTTTTATTATTACCTTCGACGGAGACAGAAATTATTCTGTTTCTCTTCGTCTGTACAAGTCTTTGGATAGCTGTATTGCTGCGGTAAATAAGTTTTCTTTCGATATTCCCGATAGTTTTTCAATTATTTTGCGTTATTTTAAAGTTAACGAAGACATATTGAAAGGAGATGAAAAGTTTGGATTTGTAATTGTTGACGACGACGGAAGAATTAACGAAGTGAGTAATAACTTATATCATCCGTTCCAAGAATGTTCGGATGTTATGAACGAAGTTTATGTTGAAAAGAACAAAAAGAATATATTAATATTTAGAGAATAAATTGTGGATCAAAGCATTATAAATGCTCTAAAGTTCATAAAATTGACTGATATGTATTTCAAGCATCCGAGTAACTGTATAATTGCTGGGCTGTCGCAATGTGGAAAGACGACGCTGGTAAGAAAAATTATTTGCTGTAAAATTTATGAAAAATCATTTTAAAAATTTTATGGTGTTATTCTGTATATTTGCCGTTTACTCGTAACGAAAAAAATATTACATTTATGTATAGTTTACCTGAATCCGTGCAAGGATGGGATTTAGTTTATAATACTCGATGATTTGATGCACGAACTTGGCTCAAAAACTGCGTTCCTCTTTACTACAGAGTCTCACCATTATAACGTAAGCGTGATCCTGATAATGCAAAATTTGTTTCCGAAAAATAAAATTATGAGAGATATAAGTTTAACTACACATTATTTGATTTTATTTAAAAATAATGGTGATGAGAGTCAAGTAAATTGTTTGGGACGGCAAGCTTTTGCAGGAAAATGTAATTTTTTTATGGATGCGTATAAAAAAGCAACGGAAAAAGATTTTGGTTATTTGTTATTAAATTTTCACCCGAAAACAGACAAGAAACTTTCGGTGAAAGATTCGTGTTTTCCGGATGAACAAGATATTTTTTGGATATACTTACCGATAAAATAAAGAACATAAAGAAAAATTACCATATGCTGGCGTTTTTGGCTAAAACTACTCCGTCTCAACGAAGAGCAATATTGAAAGAAGCTACTCCCGATCAAGTTAAAGTTTTGTGCGAAATATGCGATAATTTGCGGAGTGTAAATATACCTGTACATGTTCATAAATTACGAAAATATAAAAAAATAATCCGGAAATTAAGTGAAAAACATGTTCCTTTAAATACCAAGAAAAAAATTTTAGTTAATCAATCTGGTGGGTTCCTTCTTCTTCTACTGGCGCCGTTATTGTCTATGGCAGGAGGATTAATTGGCAAAGTAATAGGAAAAAGAATCTAATGGCGAAGCAAATGGCTTTAGTGCCTCCCGAATTGTTAAAAGCATATCAGAAACCTGAAATAAGAAATGGTAATAATATTGAAGAATTACTCGAGAGTACCGATTTATCCGACGATAGTAAAGTTAAATTATTAATTCAACTGATTTCGAGATTTCACAGAACGATTTATGCACCGGAAAAACCAGTTAGAGTATCCGTCATACCAGACGAAAATCAAGAAGTGTCTTCTGGACCGGAAGAAAACCCGATGATAACGGCGAGGATGTAATTGTTGAACAAATAACTATATCTGTCCCTCAGTTATATCAAAAATATATTCCGCATTTAATTGACAGACTGAGACAAAATCATTAGGGACGGAATGAAAAAGGCGAAATGACAATCAGCAGTAAGTCAGTTGTTGGAAGTCATATGGTGGATTTAATATCTCATTTAATGAAAAATAAAAAAATCCCATTAGCCCCCTCTGGTTTTAATGAATTTTGGCAAACTTTACGAAAAATAAATATCCTTAAAGAGTGGATTGGAAATAAAGGTTTGGCGACTCTACCCGAAATAGGCGAACAATTAAGATATCAACCTACACCTGTTGACAGTCCCGAAGAAATTTTTTTTTCAATTTCTCATTGAATATTTTACCAGTAAAAAAAATCATTTACGAAAAAGAGGAAAAAGAGTCCCGAATGGAGAAACATTTGAAATCGTTATATTATAATCCTAAATCTTCGGCATCGTTTGGAGGAGTGAGTAAAGTAGCTAAAGCTTCTAATTTACCGAAATCTGTGGTCGAAAAATGGCTGTCTTCTCAGCCAGTTTATTCGCTTCATAAACCTGTAAGAGTTAAGTACTCGCGAAGAAAAACTAAAGCTTTTTATCCTAACGACCTATGGCAGGTCGATTTAATCGTGTTAAAGCAATTTTCTAGATATAATAATGGAATAAAATATTTATTAACCGTAATTGATGTATTTAGTAAATATTGTTACGTTGTGCCAATAAAGGATAAAAAACCTAAGTCTATTTTGGAAGCTTTTCAAGTTATTTTTAAACGAAATATTCCAAAAAATTTGCAAACCGATAGGGGGACCGAATTTTATAATAGGTTAGTAAAAAGTTTGTTTAAAAAATATAAAATTAATCATTATTCGACTCATTCGGATACTAAAGCTTCCGTGGTCGAGAGATTAAATAAAACTTTACGAAATAAAATATATAGGTTATTTACTTACCGTAATTCTTATCAATATATCGATAAATTAAACGATATCGTAAAAGGATATAATAATAGTTTTCACAGAAGTATCGGTATGGCTCCATCTGAAGTTAATCTTTTGCATTACGGTACAATTTTTGATAGGCTGTATGGTATAAAAAGAAAAGATAAATTTAAATTTAATATTGGTGATTTAGTTCGAATTTCGAAAATACGTAAAACATTTAGTCGTGGATATCTGCGGGGGTGGACGAAGGAAATATTTGTTGTTCACGATCGATTTATATCGCATCCTCCGACTTACGTATTGAAAGACGCAAATAACGAAATTTTGAAAGGAAGGTTTTATACCGAAGAATTGCAAAAGGTAACAAAATGATGCAGTCAGACTTTTTTGTCACGTTGATAAGTAATGCAAGTATGGACCTGTTTCCAAAAAATACTCAGTCTAATTTTATGGTGAAAATGAGTCCCCCCATTAATTTACATGGAAATTGGGCAGTTGGACTTAGTGAAGTTATTATTCCGAGAAATTGGTTTAATATATCTAACCACAATAACGATTACGTTGTTACGTTCGAAGAAATTATAAAAGAAAAAGATGAGCCGTTGCCGGATAAATCATATTTGGTTCCTTTGATTCCTATTAAAGATAAAGAAAGTAAATTGTTTGATGGAATAAACGAAAACATACTTTCGTTAACGAATTCTAATTTGGCAGAATTTATTTTTGATGAAGATAAACAAACCGTAGACGTAAATATAAAAGATGCACACGAGTTGCACATTACGGTCGAGCATGCGTCAAAATTACTTTATATGCTAAATTTACCTAACGAAGATATCGTGCTAAGGGAGAATTCAACTTATAATTTTCGATTATCGACGAAGGCCTATTCCAATCAATTTTTTACTTTAGTGGAAAAAAATAGAAAAAAAGAAGTAATTAAGAAAACTTATAGGGATGAAAAAATCTTTATTCCTATAGGATTATATTCGTCTCCTGAAAAGTTTTTAGGAATTTTTAAATATATAAAGCTAGCTTTACTACCGAATAATAAAATTATTTTAAAAGTTCCGTCGAATATCTCTGTAGAATTCGGAAATGAATTAAAAGATTTCTTAGGGTTTACAACTGCAAAATTTCCACCAGGGGAATATATAAGTCATTATCCGATCGAAATGTCGGCCGGAATATCAGAAATTTTTATTTATTCGAATATTATTTCCTCCCATCACGTTGGAGATATAACAGCACCGTTATTAAGAGTTATACCTGTTATGGGAGAAAAAGAAGATCAGATATTTAGAGTTTATTCGACACCTTTGTATTTTCCTGTAAAGAAAAATTATATAGATTCCATAGAAATTGAATTGAGATCTGCTGGAGGAAAAGAAATTGTCTTTTTTGGTGGAAAAACGTTATTAGTTTTATCTTTTAAACAGTTATAAATACTACCCAGTTTTATTTCTAATGTTAGTTCGTCTGTGAGAAGTACAAAATGAAGCTCGATCCTAAAGTTTGTATAAATTATTACTGCAATCAAGCAGGAGGAACAATATGGACTCCCGATTCATACATGAGGAAAATGATGCCGGGAGGAGGTTATTTTGCAGGACCTCAAATTCAACGA